TTTAAAGGAGGCTAGATAGACTCCTTGCTGGGGTTATTTGACCTGAGCATTCTTTCCTGCCCATGGCAGGGGGTTGCACTTGATCTACTCAGGTCCCTTCCAACCCTATCAACTATGAAACTATGAAACCAGGAGAGATAGAGACACCACTCTGAGCATAGTCCTTTGCTGAGTTGGGGAAGAACTCTCCAGAGCAGTGGGTTTAAGTTAAGACCTCATTAATGTGAATTAATGATATTTTTGGTTCCGGGAGGAATCGTTTATATTTGCTTTGTATTGTCAAGGTATTATTTACAGCCATGAGACTGGAAGTATGTTAAGTAACAGGCTGGAAATAAGAGGATGCTTGAGTTCAAGACTTGGCATAGCCATGGGTTATCTTTGTAAGCTTGAGGAAGTCACTCAGTTTTCCTTGTTCCTAAGTTCCCCTCTCATAAATTGAGGGTGAGACATTCAGGCCCTAGACAGATGTAACATCTAAGATGCTTCAGATGGTGAGCAGGCAGGCATACATACCCTATGAAGTGCTCTAAAACTGGCCAAAATGCTGCAAAAATTATCCTGAGTATAATAGCAACTTCTTTAGTGGGCTTCATTTTGGAGCTTTTTCCAGTTGTGTGTGCACATGCAAAGAATGCTTCCTTATGTGGCTTTTGAGGCTAGGAGACTAGAGGCTGAGTATACAGGAGAGTACGCATTGGCTCTGTAGCTAAATACAGATGGTCAAAAAGCCCAAGGCTGAATCAAGTCAGTCTTTGCAGATTAGTCTAAGCTGCAAAGATTAAACTGAGAAACAACTGGACACACTTTTACCTTTGATTCAGGAAATGCCTCCACATGTCCGCAGTGGTTTAGGCCAGAAGATGGGGGGTGGTGCTAGAGCACAGTTCTCTGGCACTTCCTCTTCCTGCTGCCCCTGAGGTCTCTGGTTTTGTGGTCCAGTATCACAGCAGCAGGACTCTACAAGGTTGCTCATCACTACTTCTTCCTGCCTCCAGGTGTCTCTGGGATTTCTAGTCTACAGTCGCATCGAGCAGCAACTTTCAGTAAGTTTAGTAGGGCAAGGCAGGACAGCTGTATGCTCATGGGAAGTGGGGTTTAACCAGGAGATGGGGGGGTTTTAACCCCACTCCCTGGCCCCAGACCCCAGCCAGGGCAGTCTCTGCCTCTCTTCCCCCTCCCCCAATCCTTCTCTGTTGGAGCAGGCAGCACATCACAGCCCAGGGCTGGAAAGCATGCTGAGGGATTGTGAATTAACTTGAACCAGGAAGGGGTCTGGGACAGAAGTTTCATAAACCGGTTTGACCCAAATCAGTTAAGTCTGATGCTACATTCAGCTGGGTTTATCTTAAACCAAATTTATCTTACGCCAGCTTCAGTCACTTTGAAACTGGTTTATGTGCACTGAACTTCTGCTCTGTTGCAGGTTTAAACCAGTTTCTGATGACTTAAACCAATTTACATGCAACTTTAATCCCTAGCCTCTCTGTTCCTCTCCCAACTCCCCTCCCTTCCAACACCACCCCTTGCCCCCCAAGTTGTCAGAATCAAATATGGCAGTGATAGATGTTTGGTCATATTCTTGCATCTCTCTATGTTCTTGTGGTCCACCATGATAACTCTCTAAAGACCATTTTGTAACTTGGCATTTAGTTTATGGTGAGTATCTTAATTATTATTTTCCTTTATTCGAATTCCTCATGTCTGTGACACTTCCATAATGCAATATTTGAGTTAATACAATAAGAATGAAAATGAAGTAGTTTTTCAGTGAAATGTGCTTAAGTATATCATTTCTAATAACATTTAGGTATTATGTAACTGTCAATAAATACAGATCTTGCCATTATTGTATTTAGTAATGTTTTGTTCTTGATTTATTTGTATATTAACATTTTCTTGTGGCTTTTTACTGTAAAGTTGAAAGGTTATTTTGTAACATCTTGGTAATGTAATAATGGGTGATTGGAGTGTTATTTCACTTCATCAAATTTTCTTTGTTGCTCTCACAATCCTTTTCAATATCTTCATCCTTTTAGCCTAGAAATGCTGGACAAGGTCGAACCACCTACTATTCCTGAAGGTTATGCTATGTCTGTGGCATTCCACTGTTTGCTGGATCTTGTTCGAGGTATCACTACCATGATTGAAGGGGAGTTGGGACAGGCTGAAACAGATGGTCAGACTATGACTGAAACAACTTCATCACCAGCACAGTCTTCAGACCAGCAGTCAGTATCTGGCCAAACTGACAAGGAGCTAGGTATACAAAAATATTAATACTATATGAACTACAGTTCAAGGACATAAAATCTTAGGAGTAAAAGTCTGAATTTTAAGTACTAGATCTTACTTTAAGAGCATTTATGGAGCTTTACGCAATGCACCCTAGTATCTCCATAGTTAATATTTGCTTTTAGTTTTATCCATCTTTTCATTTCAGTATTTTAATTTATAGTTTCTGAATGCTATGTACCACTTTGTTATGTACCACTAGGGGTGGAGTGTTGTAGTTATGTACCACTAAATGTTGTGTACCACTAGGGGTACGTGGTGTAAATGATTTTACGTTTATACTTTGTCATGCTGTAAATGATTTTTCCAGAAAGTTGGTAACATTTTTAGTAACTTCAACACAGCAGTCATTCGAAATTCTCTCAGAATTCGTTTTAATTGTTGTTGAACCACCACAAAGTTTTTGACTTCATACATTCCCTTTTCTATAACATCTCAAACATAAGTCCCTTTGAAAGTTTAATACCCTTTGTTTGTAACGTGTGTGCGCGTGCATGCGCGCACAGAAAGAGGGCAACAGGATTTCTGTTGGCTATCTGAGTTCTCTAGTTGTCTTGTCTTGTCTTGTCTTGTCTTAGCCACGGCCACACAAACATGGGCATTTGGCTTCCCAGAGACGAGCTGCAGCAGTGCACCTTGCACTGCCACTACTTGTCCCCAGGGAATGCCCGTGCCATGCACGCTTTGGTGTGTGACAGTTTACCCTGGGTGGGGTAGGAGAACCTGGGTCCAGTACTTTTGGCCCCAGCAGTCACACATGGGGACCTCCCGGGGCTGCAGCAATGGCTGTTCTGTCGTGTGGAGCCTGGCCAGCAGCTGCAGTGCAGTTCCAGGCAGCCCAGCTCCACTTTTGAGTGGCGTGTGTTGCCTGTGTATGTGCTGCTCCACTTCTTTTTTTTCCCGACGGGTTTTATGACCCCTGGATATCCAGGGGTCAAAAAACCCACGGGGGAAAAAAGTGGAGCAGCACATGCAGGGGCAGCACTCCCTTGCAGCATAGAGAACATCTGAATGTACGGTATGTACAGATGTTTGCAGTCCGGCATACTGCACAGCTGTGATCACCTGGATATGGCCCTCAAGTCCTTAACCTTACTTATCACAGAGACTGTGGAAGGCCAAGAGCACAGCCTGGCCAGTAGAAATATTGGGGTTGCAGAGTTCATGAGTTTACTAAAGAGTCTCTAGGAATAAGGGAAAACTGAAAGATCTGTGTTGGGGGAAGAGGATTTGGAGGAAGAACAATATGGAATCTTTGCAGACCAGGTCAATAGGTGAGGTGGGTTTTTTCCTCTCTTTAGCAGGTATATCTTTTTACCCATATCTCTGCTACATGCACTTTTCTAGTGTATAAATGCTTGTACAGGTGAAGTTGTAGTCTTGTGTTTACACTGTGTGTTTTGAATACAAGTTGATGCAAGATGTGTGTGTGTGTGTGCTATAGTCTTATTTTGAAAGTGCAAGTGGTTTGCTTTTTTTGACTAGATATGACTTGGAGTGCATTAAAGTATATGAAATAAAAAAGGCCTTTATTGGCATTTTCCATATTTTTTTTGTGATTTGCAGGGGTGGTGTTTTCACATTAGCAAATATGACTGAATATTTGTTTAGGACAATATAAAAGCAAAGAAGAAAATACCCAGCAATCACCACTTTTCTGTTTGTTCTAGTAGTCATTAAAGAATGTTCCATATCTATCACTACTATAAAATATTTTTCTTTTAAGTTAGCAGAGCTGTCTGGGAAGAAATGGTGAATGCATGTTGGTGTGGCCTTCTAGCTGCACTGTCGCTGCTTCTTGATGCCAGGTATTCATTCTCTTAATTTTTGCTTATTCTTCATAGCTTATATTACCAATTCTATCCAGAACAGATTTTTTTGCAGCATGTCAAGTTGGCTGCTGTGTGGGATGAAACTCTTCACAAGAATTAGGAAGAGATTGTGAAGAAGTGTTTGAATTAAGAATAATCTACCTGGTGGTCACCAAAAATCTAACACAGCATCTAGTATGGTAGTCCACAGCCTTTTTAGACTCAAGGCATCTGTTGAAAAATGCCAGCCCTTCGCTTTCACTTGTTCTTGACTACAGAAAAATAATAGAGCAATTTTTCTGTTGCAAAGAACTTGGAAAGATCACAGCAGGTCAGAATGTTCTTGACACTGGATTCCTATTTGGTATCTCTGGGATTATCTGGTGAATCCTGTGCAAGTGTTCACACACCTAACAGTGCTAATATTGCATAACACCCTGTGGCATCGTTAAAAGGATCTTGTGGCACTCTTCAGAATTGGAGTATTAGTACTAGTGTTCTAGTACTAGCTGGAGGCAAAAGTACTTATTTTATAACAATTACTTTTTCAAAATTTTATATTTAGTTTTTTTAATCTCTTTTTATACCGGCCATTGGAATTTTTTAGTGCAATGAAGTGATGCTTCTTGAAGGGCAAAAGTCTTGGTTGATGTAATTAATGGAGTAAATAATTTTCCAGCATCTCTAAGCTCTAGAAAATCCTTTACTTTAAGCTTGCTGTGAAGAGCTGTTGGGGAAGAAATGGTAAATGTTCGTTGGTGCCATTACTAAAAGCTATGATTTTACCCAAACTTTTTCTTTCAGAAAGTTCACACTTGTTGCTTTAATCATTGTTTTAGAAATACTTTTCTGACAGCAGAAGTTGATGCATCTACTCTTTATTCCTTATGCTAAATCCTTCAGAACTGCAGTGTTATATAGTGTGAATTAGAATTCAGAAATGTTTTATTGATTGAGTACATTTGATGTTTAATGTTTTCAGTGTTGATAATTTTGTCTCTGAATTCTTACTGGCTTTATCCAACTTCTACTTAGCTTCTGTATCATCTTTTGATGACTAATCCCTACTAAATGTTCTATACTCTTTCAGCACGGATGAAGCTGCCACAGAAAATATTTTAAAAGCAGAACTGACCATGGCTGCACTTTGCGGAAGACTGGGTCTTGTAACTTCAAGAGATGCCTTTATCACTGCCATTTGCAAAGGCTCCTTGCCGCCTCATTATGCTCTGACTGTACTGAACAGCACAACTGCAGCTCTTTCCAATAAAAGTAAGAGCATAATTTATTTTCAATTTATATACTTTCATCTGTTAACCTAATCCTCTCTCTCTCTCTCTCTCTCTCTCTCTCTCTCTCTCTCTCTCTCTCTCTCTCTCTCAAATCAGTATTTCATGTTCTAAATAATTCTGAATCATACTAACAAACTTGAACCTTTTTCCAAGACATGGGTGCTAGCATATGGAGACATAATATTTACTGATCTAAAATATGTGCCTATGCAATGACTAAAAGTATCCTATGTAGGTCCTGATGCTTCAGGACAACAGTTGTGATTGTAGTTGCAGTGATCTCTGTGCAAGCATATCTGGTACTAATGCCTTGCATGATCCTTGTTTTATTCATCCACATTAAACCTTGGGAGGAAAAAAAAAAAGCTTGGTAAGTTAGGCTTTTTTTCGATGCAAGAAATGTGCTGTTCCACATTACTTTGAGGCTTTCTATATATCATAGCACATGTGCTTTTCTCCAGCATTTCCTGAAAATATACATTTTTTTAACATTTTAAAAATCTTGATTGCTCTTTGTTTAAAAAAAAAAAAAAAAAAAAGTTATGATTCAGTATTTATATTTTCAAACAAAACTTCTCTATGCTCTAGGGCATTTTACCTAGAAAAGAATATTCTAGATACCTTGCATTGTATTACTCAGCTATCTTATGACACTGTGTTTGCATCATTCTTACCATGATGCAAACTCAAGGACCTTTCCCTGTCTGTAGGAAAGTGGTTCAGGTGCCATCACAGCCATCTCTTTCTTTTTTGCTTCTCCCTGCTGTCCTTTGATTTTGCAAGAGGACTACTCAAGGTTGAAAGTCCTTGCATGATCCAGTGGATAGATTAGAGGCTAGAGCATGCATAAGGTGGTAGAGGGACCCCTTTAGTCCTTCCACCCACAGTGTTTAAAAAAAAAAAAATCTTATAAATTAAGAAAGGCTGAAGCTATTAGGCTACCGTACAGATTCCCTTATTTTGCTCTACAGATCCCCTGCTAGGATGAGGCTTCTGGGCATGTTTTCAGGTATTGCATTCCTTTATAGCATACCTTTGATATAGCTATTAAGAAAGTGGTAAAAGTAAAAGACTCCAGAGCCAATGCAGGGTACTCATGCTTTGATGGTATTGTTACTGTGGTGGATCCCTTCAAATCTATAATTTCAAGGGAAGAGATTGACTATTTCGAGGGAAAAGGGATGGCTATGAATTGTGGGGTGGCTGGTAGCTCACCCTGTAGCCCTTTTCCCAGAGCTGCTGCTGCCTGCCCCACCTCTGCCCACTCCGAGCATAGGCCCGGCTCACCCCACACCGGGAAGAGTCTGGTGCGGCCCGCCCTCACCTTTAGCACAAATCTAGGGGGCACATGGCCCCACACGCCTTCCCCAGGGGTGTATGCAGCAGCAGGAGCTGCCCTGCCCCCCCCCCCTCAGACAAGCCCTTTCTTTTTGACTTTTCAAATCC